CAGAAATGCTTGGATGAAACGCTGGTGGGGACGCGGATAGTTTTTGATCTAAAACGCTGTTTTCAAACTAAAACGCACTAGTGAAAACGCGGCCTGAGATTCTGGACAGTCTTTAACCCCTGTTTTGATCAGGTTGTGCATCGTGCTGAAGATGGAGGGGAGTCAGTGGTGTTGCTCGGCCGGCAGCTCGCTCTCTGCAACTCTCACATGGTCGCCCACTGAAGCTAAGCAGGGCTGCGCCCGGTCAGTGTCTGGATGAGAGACCACATGGGAAAGCTAGGTTGCTGCCGGAGGTGGTCTTAGTGAGGCCAGCAGGGGGCGCTCAACCTGCGGTCTGTGAGTCCTAATGCCCCAGCATAGTGACGGGGACTCTATACTGTCAGTGAGCGCTGACTTTTGGATGGGACGTTAAACCGAGGTCCTGACTCTCTGTGGTCGTTAAAAATCCCAGCATGTCCTTTGAAAAGAGTAGGGGTTTAACCCCGGCATCCTGGCCAAATCTGCCCACTGGCCTCTGTCCATCATGGCCTCCTAACCATCCCCATATTAAAATTGGCTTCATCACTCTGTCTCCTCTCCACCAATCAGCTGGTGTGCGGTCTGGCAATAAATGGCTGCCGTCGCGTCATCCAGGTGGATGCTGCACACTAGTGGTGGATGAGGAGATTCCCCCATTGTGTAAAGCACTTTGACTGCCCAGAAAAAAGCTATATAAATGTAAGTAATTAATATTATTATTATTATTCTCCTCTTATTAACTCTACAGCGGCTCCTCACTCTGCGCAATGCTTTAACACACACACAGCTCTGAATATTGATTATCAGATGGGCATCAGCGTGTGTGTGTGTGTGCGTGTGGTGCGTGCGTATGCGCGATTGTGTGTGTGTGTGTGTGCGCGTGTGTTTAGACGCAGCGCTGTGGATCTGACGGCTTCCGCGAGGGGGGAGGAGAAAAAGACAGGCAGCACATTGAGGAACAGAGCTCAGAGACGGGGAGAACGCGGCGGCACTGCAAAAAAGGCTCCGCACACACACACACACACACACACACACACACACACACACACACACAAACACGCGCACAAACACCCTCAGACCCTGCTCCTCACAGCAGTCTAAAGCAGCCTCAACCTCAACCTCCCCTGATGCTGTGCTGTTTGCAAGGGCTGATCATTTGTAATGCTGCATTAAGTGTGTGTGTGTGTGTGTGTGTGTGTGTGTGTGTGTGCGTGTGTGTGTGTGTGTGCGTGTGTGTGTGTGTGTGTGTGTGCGTGTGTGGGTGGAGGGCGAGGCCTGCTTCATGCCCCTGTCTACACCACACACAGGACGGGCAGTGTGTGTGAGTGTGTGTGTGTGTGTGTGTGTGTAATGAGCATGTATGGTTCCGCTGGCGCTGTAAATAGCAGACGGCGCAGTAATAAAGCAAACAGCTGATTATCCCAAGCACAGAGATGAGATCCTCCACCCCAGCACACACACACACACACACACACCAGAGAACACACACTGCAGTGTACACTACCAAGTGTTCTTGGGCCGGGCTGAGGTCTGTGTTTTCCTGGACTGTAGGCAGTAATGAGCACTTGCAGATTTAGAAACAACTAAAAGAGAAACACGACTCCTCCCGCGACAGGATTCCTGAGACCCGCAGAGCTGCACACACACACACACACACACACACACACACATCCAGCACTCCAAGCACCTCTATACAATAATGTCTACAACAGGGGCGTTGCTAGACCCCATTTACAGGAGCATGTGCCCCAGTAAAAATGGCAGAGCTCCAGTAAATGCTGTGAGATTTACTTGATGTGCAAGAGTGTTGATTAAGAGTGGAGACCCCAGAATAAAGAGGTTATGCTCTATACGCAACCAAACCAACGCTGATGAAAGCAATGCAGTTTAATCAAAAAGCAAATGGAACCTGTGCGCAGAAATAACACACACCCGCGCGCCTCACACACACCGCTCCTGCTTGATGCGGACGCGCTGCTCGGCTCCCGGTCCGGTTGTGAACAAGCATGCTGAAATAACAGCCGCGCCGCTCATGTGCTGTGAATCCGGCACGCAGCGAGTTTTACAAGTCAACAAGACAAAGTTTAATGACTCCGGCTGTCTTTAGATTGCTTTCAGTTACATTTAGGATCCATTTCTGTGATTTATTAGGAATAATCATTGCATAATAACAACAGTACTGTTATTTATTTATAATCATATATTTCTGTTTTAATAGTTTTATTTTTTTATTTATTTATTTATTTTTGGAGGGGTGCTGTGTCCCAGTAGAGTTTTATATCTAACAACGCCCCGCTCTACAACACAGCAAACACGACAACCTGTTAGGCAA